CCCAAAGCTCAGGGTTTCCCACACACCAGAGAACAACAACCAAAGGAAAACAAACCAAACAAGAAAAGGGTTAACCCGCAACCTTGGTCGACAACAGGCCGCACGACTGGTCCCTACCAACCTGGCGGCGGCCCGAGGTCTCTTTCTCCCCCGAGATGCCGTCGGTCGACGCAGGGGTTCGGCGACGCCCATTCGAGGCGCGACGGAACCCAAAAATCTTGAGCCAAACATCACAGGTCAGTCACTACCGCGACATCCCTGTTGATGAAATGAATCATGGCTAATCACACCCCCCTCACGAGGAGCCCGTCATATGACGGGTGGAGCGTGCCATTTACTGATAGGATTTAACTGCTCGCATGCGTCCGCAAACAGCTGGACACTACCGCCGTCAGCGGTGGAGCAAACCCACAAAGGCAGTTGCGCGACATCCCGGGCATTAATTTCCCGCCACCACCCCGAATTAATCGGGGTAACGCTGTCCAACATACCTTGTGGAAAAGTCCACGTGACGACACTAGGCCACAACTGTTTGCATCAACAATGCAAGAAGTTTAATTCTTATCAGAAGCCATGAAAAAGAAGATAACGTATGTCCATTTAGCACCCTCGCCTAACGGCAAGAGGTACTCCTGACCATGCGTACCTGAAAAATGCTTGAATTCCGCAAACCCGGGAGTAACCCTTCGGAGCCGGAGCATTCTTCGCCTCAGACACAGAAGCGGCCTTCCCTTTTGGCTCGGCCTTTGGAACCGGGGTCGTTTTGGCCTTTGCGCTCGGCCTGGCTCCCTCAACCACCATCGCGACCCAAGTCTTCTTCGGTTGGGCCACGGTTGCATCAACCTCCATCGGAGCCGGCCCAGCATCAGCCTTCGCTTTTGCCTGCGGGACAGACGGACTAACGCCCTTACCAGACCCTTTTCCTGGCACTTCACCTGACTTTGGTGGTGGGCCGGAAGGGCTACCGCCCTTACCGCCCTTTTCCCCCTTCTTCCCTTTTCCTTTTCCGCCCTTGACGATCGGCTCCTGCTTAGGACCAGGACCCTGTGCAGCATGATGCACCGATTGAAGCCCTTCGATGTCCACGTCCAATGGCTCCGGTTGACGACCATCAAGGACCGTCCTTACCCTTTCGTCACTAACGTAGACGAATGGGTCACGGAAGGGAGCGGGAGGCTCCGACTGCCCGGCACTGATTGCCTTCTGCACCTTGGCTATCGCCTCCTTCAATCTCTTCTTCTCATCGTACCCGGTTGCCGACACCATGTACCCCCTGAGTTGCGATATCAACGCATGGCTGGCCAGGATGTCCACGTCCTTCCGATGGGTCGGATACAACGGAGTCAGATGACCCGCCGCGGAGCCAATCACATACGCCATCGGGATGTAGAAGGATAAGTACGTATCATGACGAGCGAACTTCCTAACGGAAGTCGTCATACGCCTACCCCACTGAGCAGCATGCCTCGGGTTAGCACGGAAGTACTCCGTGACCGAATCAAATCTATCGACTTGATTGGTCATAATCAGGTGCTTCGCTACCCACTTCTCCACGAACGCATCCGAGGCCGAAATCCC